CGCCCCTCCCGTGTGTAACCTCCCTTCCACCCAGGGTCGCTCCACACCTGCCACCCTCCCCCCTCTGGAAACCAAAACCAAAGCCAGCCAGCCTTTCTGCTCAGCTCACTGGGCTTATCCGAACAGAAGGAATCCGTGTGCCTGCTGCAGCGCAGAGCGGAGGGGCCAGGTTAAACCCTTGATGTGTTATGCTGCTTTGAAGCCAGCCAGCTACTGTTCGTACTGTGAGTGGGGCTCTTCTGTGTCTGGTTCCAGTCATTGGGGCTAGATGTGAGCTCTGAGCTTTTGCTTGCCAAAGCGGGGCAGGTGGATCCCTGAGCCAACCTTGCAAAGAGAAGTCCCTTTGCTACTGGCCACATGGCTGTGTACTGTTCTCCTGGGGGCTGGCTCCTCGGTCCCGGGGGGAGGAGGGTCCTGCTGCTCTCAGAGGGTCAAGTGTCGGCCAGGAGCCTTCAGCCCCCAGGGTCTGTGGCTCTGGGGGTCCCCTGCCTCAGGCTCCCCTCCTTTCCTACATTTTCAAAATTTTGTTCCTCCGGTTTCCCGAGAAACGCCGGGTAAGTCCAGCTAGTTTAGTCTGTAGAAGAGAAGAATGAGGTGGGATTCGATAGCACCCTTCAACTACCTGAAGGGGGGTTCCAGAGAGGATGGAGAGAGGCTGTTCTCAGTAATGACAGATGACAGAATGAGGAGCAATGGTCACAAGTTGCAGTGGGGGAGGAGAGGCCTAGGTTAGATATTAGAAAAAATTATTTTACTAGGAGGATGGTGATGTGCTGGAATGGGTTACCTAGAGAGGTGGCGGAATCTTCATCCCTACAGTTTTTTAAGTACAGGCAGTCCCCGACTTACGTGGATCCGACTTATGTCGGATCCGCACTTACGAACGGGGCTTTCTCCCCCCGGAGCTCGCAGGCAGCGGTCAGCCACCTCGACCTCCGGGGCGAGAAAAGCTGCTCCCGGTGCCCCTGGTCTGCTGGGGGGGGGGGGGCACACTAGCTGTGCCCCCCCCCAGCAGACCAGGCTTTTGTTGTGGACCCTGGGACAGAGCAGCTGGGGGGCTGCCGGGTTGGTCCAGTAGTGCCCAAAGCAGCGCTGCGGGACCAACCGGCAGCGCCCCAGCTGCTCTGTCCCAGGCGTCCTGATTCAGCCACTGCTGAAACTGACCAGCAGCAGCTGAATCAGGACGCCTGGGGCAGAGCAGCTGGGGTGCTGCTGGATTGGTCCAGTAGCGCCGAGGAGTGGCGCTACTGGAGCAACCCAGCCGCACCCCAGCTGCTCTGCCCCAGGCGTCCCCAAGTCAGCCGTTGCTGAAACTGACCAGCGCTGACTACAGGAACCCTGAGGCACAGTTGCTCTGCCCCGGGCTTCCTGGAATCAGTGGCTGATCAGTTTCAGCAGCAGCTGACTTGGGGTTCTTAAGTTGAATCTGTATTTAAGTCGGAACTGGCGTCCAGATTCAGCCGCTGCTGAAACTGACCGCCAGTTCTGACTTACATACAGATTCAACTTAAGACCAAACCTACAGTCCCTATCTTGTACGTAACCCGGGGACTGCCTGTACCATCTTGACAAAACCCTGGCTGGGATGATTTAGTTGGGATTGGTCGTGCTTTGGGCAGGGAGTTGGACTCAATGGCCTCCTGAGGTCTCTTCCAGCCCTATGATTTGAGGTGCTCCTGCAGTATAAATAAGCATCTTACAATGTACTATTAATGGAGATGGGCTGAGGAAGTGAGATTCAGGTTTGGATTAGGTTTAGACTACTATTTGTGTTCTAAGCCAGACTGGGTTATTACCTGTGATATTGCATTTTTTAAAGGTTTTGGTTTGTTACAAGTTTTTCTTGGGTATTTAGTGTTGTTTTGTCATCTCTCTCTAATGTTCTTCAAAGATATTTGCTCATATCTCCATGAACCTGCAAATTTAATTTGTTTCACCACCGCTTTTTGTATTGGAATATTCAGTATAGATTTTTGAGCATATTTGGAGTGTTTTTTCTCTTCACTCCCTCTGTGTGTGTGCTTTTTAATGTAGCATCCCAGTGTTAAAAGTTAAAGACACTATGAGGTGCTTCTATCCTTCAAGTATATTGAATTGGCAGTTCTTTCTCAATTTTTGTAAAATGTGTTTAGGGCAAACATGTTTTTGCTGTCTTTGTTTTGCTTGGCAGCATTAAAAGAATAGGATCTAACAATTATCAACTATTTAGCCGCTTGAATGCATTTTGATTGATCCTTAATAAGAGAATGAAGTGCGTGGCTGTCAAAATTTTACACCAGAGTGACACATTCCTTTTTTTTTATGGTGCAGATTCATCTTTGGTGTAGCTCTGTTGTTATCAGGACTGTTAGATCAGGAATAAATTTGGCCTGCCGAGACAGCTGTGTATGTAGTGCTTGCTGATCTAGAATGTTGTGACACTTACAAATTTTCTGAAGATGGCCTTTTTATGGTGCTTTAAAAGTCCTTTATGTTACAGTGAATGTATTTGTCTTACAACTTATATTTATATCTTTAAAAATGCTTGTGCAGCCTGAGAGAAGCACACACCCTAAAGATCTGTCCATTTCTCCAAAACCTTTGTGGTCTAAAACTCTAGTCTTGCATTCCTCCTGCTTTTCAGCTCTGAGCAGGAGTGCTGACATTGAAATAGCTGTGAAGCACACACACAGTCTTTTTATAAGAGGGGAAGAACCAACAGTTGATGCATTAATAATGGATGCTTAAAAACTAGTAATGTTTAAAATTGACGATCTGCAATTTCACCAAGTTCCACAATCTGCCGTTTCTATCCCTTCCATTCCCTAGCACTAAATCATCTGCTTTCCCTTTAAAAATTGAGGGTTTTTTTGGTTTTGTGGGGTGTTTTTTTGTTTTGTTTTGTTTTTTTGCTATCACTTTGGATTTTTGATACATTTGGAGCACAGAGTTTAAAAAAATTATGCATTGTGAGTAACTATTGTGTTGACTAATAATCACTGATGAACTAAACAATCTCTTAAAGAAGATAGACAGGAAAATGACAGCTCTTGGTGCCAGGAACATAACTTTTATGATGCACTAGCAGGGTGTCCTGTGCAACCTCATTGACTATGACCATCTTACATAAATCATGCCTTCTTTGCTTTTATTAAATTAAACCATTTAGCCAGAATGGGGACTCCTGAACATTTTAATGAGACTCTTGAAAATCAGAGGGGGGGGGGGGCACAAACTAAAAGTCTTTTGAAGTTCTGCAGCAAGTTACTTTAATCAGAGCCCTCAGTATCTAAGAATGCATAGAGATCAAAAAAGGTCCTCTACTGGGAAAGTATGTTTTTTCCCCTTTGTTCATAATCGGTAATTACACCCCCATAATGGCTCCTCTGGTGCAGATGCAGAAGTAATAGACGGTGAAGAAGAAATTAGTTAGGCATACAGTAATCGCAGCAGTGGCTAGCTCAGCTGTACAATAGCACAAGAACTAATGCAGTTGCTCCTGGAAGCAATTTATTCATAACAACAAGGCTCTTGTATGTTTTCCATTAAGTCATTAAAATGTATAATGCTCCATTTTTAACCCTTCTCTGAGTGAAGAATAAAATTTCTCCACCGCAGAGGAATGGTATTCTGGCTGCCCGTAGTTAGGGATGGGATTGGGGAGAATTCCAGAAGAACTCCACTGTGGCCAATGCAGCTGTGTCTGCTAATTTAAGCCAGTTGTTTAGTAACTGATTCTGACCTTAAACCAGCGTACGTCAGGATTGAATCTGTTTACATCTGTACAGTATTGCTGAAGGTATGAGATTAAAATTAGGCATTTAGATGCTCTTGTATTATTATTTATTTGAAGACACACTTGGCAAGTTGCTACATTGCTTCTTCAGTAGCAGTGGAAATTGGCCAGTAATATGATTCCCCTCTGCCTCCAGATGTTTGGAAAATGGCAGTTCCCATTTGGAAAAATTTTGCTCTTGGCAAAGATAAAAGTTTGATTGGGAATTTATATCATTTTGGGGTTATGTAGGAACTCCTTATTTGTATTTGCTAATGGCATTCTGCATATCTGAGCTCATTTGGAGAGCGTTGTCTTGTAACATAAACCTTTGTGAACCTTGTTTGAACACCATATCCTTCTTGTCAAGCAGCTGTGGTGATCTCTCCAGCATTCATGTGCTTTCATCAGTTTTAGTAGAAATTGCATGTGGGTATGAATTCAGAAAATGCAAAAGAAATCCATACAGAGAATAAGAGATCTTTGCTTGAAGTGTACACGTGGCTCTGAGGATGAACTGCTTGGTCACTGGTGAGCAGTTTGGGCACTTGACTAAAGACACTGTTCGGCTGAGCATTCCTAAAGCATTCTGCCATTCAAGTAATGCTAAGCTTGAATCATTGTATAGATATGTATTCTGAAGCATTAGGATAAGAAAGGGCATTAATTAGATCTACCCACACAATGCAGAGCACCTTCTATCCCACTTCGTACAGATGGGCATATTCATTCAGCCATCCCATATGGAAAAGCTCTAAATGGTACAAGCTTGAGAGCTGCCTTAAGGACCTTCTTAAACCTAACTAAGGGTGGCAGGTCAAAGATGGTATCTGGAATGTTAGAACGTAATGTCCCAAAAGTGAAGCTCTGGGTGCTGGTGGCAGAACTTTCTTAGCTTTTGGGCTGCACCTCTGGATTTTGTTCCTTATGTGAAGGTATGATTAAGCACAAATCTGGTCATTTTAAAAAGACTGGAAGATCTCTTTGTCCAGAGCTTCCACGTGGATTAAATCCTGTGGTGCTAGCTGATAGCTCTGGGCACCATGGGTTTACTTTGTATTATTGAATGTCCCAAAATAAGCCTTATGTAGTGATGAGTATGGAATGCACGTTGTTGTTTTTATTTTTAAAAACATTGCAAACTGTTGTTTACAGTAACTATAAATATAGTTATAAAAAGGATAAAACCCTCCAATTAAGTTTCTTTGCATCGGCAGACCTGCCTGAAATCAGTGACAGCCCTCATTTCTGAACTGTTTGCTGTGTCATTAAATTGCAGGTGGTAGTGAGTTTGAAGATATTACTTATCTAAAGATCCATATGGCATATTTCTGTGATTAAAAGCTGCCGACTCCTCGTGCAGACACTTGTGTATTGCGCTTGTCTTTACTCCCATGAGCTGTCCCATTGTGTGATGTTAAACACATGCAGAAATACTGGTAGGATTGGGACCTGAATTTGTACATTAAAGCAGTCTGCACAGCAGCCTGTGGAGTTTGGCTTATTGAGATACAATTCTGCTTCATGTATTCTATGTAATGTATATTTGTATGTGAATAAGAGAGTGACAAATGAACAAGAGGCTGCTATTCCCATGAGAGTTTTTAGTAGATGATTATTTGCAATGACTGACTTTATCTTCCATCTCATTTTGAATTGAAAACAGATGCCCAAGGAAATGGCTGACATTTTTAATGCCCCCAGTGATGATGAAGATTTTCTTGGGTTTGGAGATGATGTTCCCATGCAAACCTTTTCGTCAGATGACAGCTGTGATAGTTTTAATTCATTGGAGTCAGGAAAAAAGGTAGGAACATTTTATCATAAATGCTAGTGTATTGGTTTCGAACAGTAAAACTTCTTTGAATTTATTTCAGGGCAGTGCTGACCTTAACTTTGGGCAGATGTGGAAATGTATAATCCTTGTAGTAGAATCAAACTATTCATCTTTAATTTGTAATGATTTTTAAAAATGGACTGCTATAAGAAACTCATTTTCCTTTCTGCATTATGAAGGGAGCCTAGAGTGAGTTTGGTATTTGTAACTTGCCCACATAGCCTGTAGGAGAGAATAATGGGCATTCAATGATTGCCAACACTGGAGGATGTGGTGCAGCTCAGTAAAATGTGTCAGTATGAATCAGTTGCACCTCTGCAGTGCTGAAGTGGGATTCTGTTGGAACCTCATGCTTTGAGTTGCTTTCTCACTACCAAGATGCTAACGTGTTTTTATTGCTTTAATTTGTAGAATCTACCAGTTACTGCTCTAGTGGTGAGGTGCACAGATGTCATTTTGTGCCTCGTTAATGAAGTAGTCAATCTGTGCAGTGACTAGATATAGTAGTGTTTGGGTTTTTGAGGCTTTTTTTTTTTTTTTTGCACTTGGAAGTACCAGAAGTGAGTGTGTGGAGAAGGACACTGGGAAGGGAGCAAAGAAAAAAAACTGGTTTATATGAGAGTTGACTGGTCTTGACAGTGATAAACTTACATCTGGGTTTTTTTGTTATAAGGGATGGAAAGCTAGTGAAGAGATTCAAGGAAGGCAGTAGCACACTTGAAGGAAGGAGTCGGCTTTCATGGTATTTTGCATAGACTGCAGGTGGGAGATGTGAGGAGAAGGGTTACAGTAATCAAAAAGATGACTAATGCACTTTAAATGCAGAACTGCAGTGGAGGTAGGTTCCCGACCTGGTGCAAGCTGGGACTGAGCCAGGCTGCTGGCCAGCCTGCTAAAAAATTTACTGGCAGGAGGAAGGGAAATACGTGTCGTCTAAAGCATTAACCTAAAAGCTTTTGCTTACTGGTTAATCAGTTAATCGTCTATACTATTGCAACCCTACTATAGAGCTGGACCTGCTGCAAAGCAATCTCCAGCTCCTGGATCTCATGCTGCACCTCTTGGTGCAGTGTTTGCAGGCTGCCTTCATGGCATGGCAGAATCAGGACTTGCTGCTCCCTGCGGGGCACCACCTCACTTCTCTCCATGTGTGGTTCATGCAGCACAGCCCCTCCCGACCGTCCCTGCACACTGTACACCTTCACTTCTGGACTGGACTAATTGATGTAAATCCTGTCAACTACAGGCAGTCCCCGAGTTACGCGGATCCGACTTATGTCGGATCCTCAGTTACGAACAGGGCCCTTCCTCTCCCTGGTCTCCAGCAGACCAGGAGAGGAAGAGGCTGGGCTGTCAGCTGGCC